AGATAGTCGATGGCTCGAACACACTCGCTGCTCCTCAGGAGAAAGATGCGTTGGTAAAGACGGCAGCTTGAAAAACTCATGAAGTGCTACCCTATCTTGCCATGTCACTGCGTCTAAGTCAACACAACAGCAATTTTTTTTTAAAGCTTATGAAAAATGCATAATCTCGGACCTCACTCTAGACCTGCTGTTACAGGTGGGTTCCCTGGGATGAGGTTCTCCTCTCCCTTTCCTGTGGAGACATACACAATACCCTCCCCTTGGGTGGATGAGCGCCCTGGCCTCCATTGCCGTCTTTTTTTTTCTTCTTTCCCTACCCCTCTGAGGGCCTTGAAGGCATATGAGGGGGTGGGGGGATGTCTTTCTGCATCTTTTTTTTTTGGATGACATATGCATCATTGGCTTTGGTATGGGTCATGCCAGAGTATCTGGTCCTTGCCACCATCTTCTCAGAAGTCCTCAGTACAAAAGTTTTCAATTGCCCACTGAGGTTTTTTTGTGTTTTTTTTTCTGAAAAGGGGGCATTTAGCCAAATAACTTTGGGAACCTATGATTAAACTGTCAAAATCTTTTCAACCGGTCTTGGTAGTACTTATTTTCCTGGAAATGTGTCAATTTCTCCAACTTAGAAAATATCCTTTGGTATTACAATTTTTCAAAAATCAGTCTGTCGTTCTCTCCTTTTTTGAGCTAAATATTGTCCAGCTGAGCCTGTTTCTTTCTGATTTGTCTCGATAGAGGTCTGTCTGCAAGCATCTCCTTAGACGCAACCCCACGAGTCCCAGAAGGAACCGCCCCAGGTTTACTGCCCAGCGTGGCCCTCCTCCTCCCCCAGGCAGCTTCCTCCGTCTTTACACTCGGAAATGCAGGTGTCTCGTCATTCCTCTAACTTCTCACCTTTTCTTCTGCCGTTCAGCATCTTGCTAGTTTTTCTTTTCGACTACTCAGTTTTCTTATTTTTTATTCCTTTCCGTTTAAGGCATCATTCGGAGAAGAGATTATTACACTCACTTCTTTTACACTCAAATTTTCTCCCATTCTACTTCAGTTATAGAATGTAATGAGCTCCATAGCTGGACTAAATTTTGGACAAAAAAATTAGACATATTCATACTAACACATAAGCACAAAACCATAGCCAGCTTCCCCAAACTTTTGATATGTGAAATGTTAAAATATCTCGATCTCATAAAATACGTTCCCTTATGGGAACTGTCAAGGCTTTAGTCGAGTATAAACACGTGGCATTATATTATTTCCATTCAAATTCAATCCAAAACCTGGCAGTACTCTGAGACAACTGTAGGAAGCTCACGATCAGACTTCCAGAAAGTAACTCTAGCGAGAACACTCAAATGGAAGTTCCCGATTTGTATCTTGTTATCGTTCTGCTTGTGTGCAAATGTCGATTCTGACCCTAACTCAGCACCCCTATCTGGGGTTTCTAAGGCTGCAAGTCATGATGGGAGCAGACAGCCGCCTGGGTCTGCTGAGAGGCTCTCGACTCACTCATGCAGTCAATTCCAGCTTGGAGCAACCCTCTAGGACAGGGTAGAACTGCCCTTCGGGGCGTTTGAGGCTGTACATCTTTATGGGAACCATCTTTTCCCCAGAGCAGCGGATGGGTTCCAAGCGCTGACCTTCCGGTTAGCATCACCATGCATAGTGACACACTAGGCCACGCAGGCTCCCTAACCTGACAGGGTGGACCTACTCCAATAGGGTTTCCTAAACTATCATCCTTATGGGCGTGGACCCCAGGTTTTTCTCGTGAGGAACGGCTAATAGGTTCAAACCACAAAGCCTTTAGCTGCCCACCATTGTGGCACCAGGGCTCCTTAGTAGGGTAGAAATTGTAGTTTTGATCTTTTTCCCCAATAATCTCTCACTTAACGTAAAAGGCTGCAGTCACTATCCCCTTTTCCAACAGAAACACAAACTGAAATTGTGCATCAAAAACTGTTTATCCCGTCTTTTGTTCCATGACTGCTAAAGAAATGTGAAGAATCTAGCGGGGGCGGGGAGTGAGCAGTCTGATATGTTTTATTTTTTCTTTCCAACATGTAAACAGGCCAGAAGGTTTTGTTGGAAACCAAAACTTATTTAGAAACAGAGCATGTATAAGTAATCCACACAATGAAATTCCTAAACAAAGTATGCACGGGGTCTGTCACTCATTGGTCCGAGGCTGCAGGAACTAAGCACACCAGGGGCAAGGGTTTCTGGGTTTGTTTTTCTCACACGCACAACATCAAGGGCAGCATTGCTCAAGGGCACAGAGTTGACTTGCAAGACGATTGGTGATCTGGGCTAGTCATTAAATCAGGTCTGACAAAAAGTTCTTCAAGCAAAAGCCCTGTCTGCAAACCAGCTAACTCAAGCCCGATGACCCATGTGTTTACACTGAACACGTGTCACAGCAACTGAATATACAGACTGAAACCGGCCCACAGATTTGGGGCTTCCTCTCTGATTAGCCACTCACAAGTACCACACTGTTTGTTTGCCCCACCCATTCTGACTCTGGCGTGCTGCTTGGAACTGGTTGGCCCTAACAGTGAAGGGAGGTGGTGCTGCCTCTGACCCACCTATTAGAAATAGGATGGCATCTGCCTTTGAATAAAGCAGCAGTTCAAGCAAAAAGGTCACGCAGATTCAGACCTTTTCTGCAATTGCTTACATTCTGGAAAGCTATTCAGAGGACACTACGCATAGCCTTTCAAAATCACACGAGAATCTCATTTATGCAACTAATCACCTACACTGTGTTTGGGTAATGAAAGTCTCTTGGTTCCTCCATTAAAATGGACACTTTGGAAATCCAAGTCCCAAACACTTCTGCTGAAGACAGTGAGACTCGATGCAAGCCATCTCGCTACAACGTTTTGAATGTTCACAAAATACTGAGCCTTAATGATGAACGGAACTTTTATTTATGACATACTTCGATTTTTTTTTTTAAGCCAAACTTTTCAAAATAAGGGTTGGTCTGTTTTCAGTTTATTGACACACAGAAAACATTTTATAAAATGATTGATTTCCATTTCAAAATTTACATGTAAAAATTTCGCAATGCAAGAAGGCGGTCGCACTGAGGGTTCAGCAGCTAAAGCCAGATGGTATTTTCAGAAGGCAGAATGTTTTGCTATCCCCTACTTAAAAAAAAAATTGGCAGATACGTAACTGCTAGGAGTATAAAAACTCACTTAGTAGCCATTTCTTTCCTTCCACAGAAGTTGATATCTACGCGGCACTGATTCATGCTGCTGGGGAAAGCAGATCCTCTAAGAGGCTAGTCCGAATCATAAAAACCCACTCCCCCACAGATCTTCTGTCATGTGATCTTCTGCCCATCACCACAAACACAAGTCGAAGGCCCCTTACGAAGGAGAGCTCAAGGAAGTAAGTTTCCTTTGACCATACCATTTTTCCCTGCTTCTTAAATAACGAGAAAAATATTTTAAATTTTTTAATGAGGGGGAGGAGTGTTTCAGAAGTAAAAACATCAACTTCATGTCTCGTTTATGAAAAATGGTGCATCTGATTCAAAGGATTCTAAAACATTTTGTCAATACAAGTGTAAAGTTTAAAAAAAAAAAAAAGCCCAGAAACAGCAAACTAATATAAATCACCTATTTACAGATGACTTTCCACAAACTACATAAAGGTCAACAGATAGGAAAGACCCTCCTTGTTGTCAGTCAGACTGGCTAAAAGGCTCTGGGCAAGCCACACGGCCCAAGGAGTCTGCATTCCTGTCTTATCACAGGAGGGCACTGGGCCACCACCCTTTTCCTCCCTCCAACTTCACAGATGTCTCCACCCAGCCCACGGCCATCAAGGTCTTTCTCATTCCTGGTGACCACACAGGACAGAGCTTCCAACGCTGTAAAGCCTCATGGGAACAGAGAGCCTCGTCTCCCGCCCTAGGAGCTGCTGGTGGAGTAAACTACTGACTTTCATGGTAGTGCCATGCCACCAGGGCTCCTTTATAAATGGATCGGCTTATAATTGTGCATTCTACATAATCCTTTTGAGGTGTTCCAGCTCAATGCATTTCCCAAAGATAGATAGCTCTCATCTAAATGGAAGTGGTACTTTCAAGCATTTAAATTTTAATTTTTCACGACATTTCCCTGTCCCGTAAAATGAAGACGTGGCCTGCCTGAAACATCAGTCGCCCAGCCTTAGCTAATCAAGCGATCTGCAGACCTGATGTGGGGCCTGGCTCAAATTCTCTGCAATGTCGAGCCCACCTGAGTCTTAAAACGAGGACGACAGCACCTGCGGTTTCTCATCGTTTGGAAGACCACTACTACATAAGGAGCTTACAAAAATTACTAGAACCGTCTATGATCTTTTCATTTCATTCTTCCACAAGGTTTTTGAAGCCCCCTCGTGCATCAAAGTATTTCTCAACTGCAAATTCCAAAAACAAATACATGCAAAGGACTATTGTGATAAACTCAAGACGGCCTTTTTTCATGAACAAGGTCTCGATACTTCGATAAAACATATGCTCTTATGTTGGGACTTACCACACATCTGATGCCAATGCTCGTTATCAGGCTGGCTTCGTGCACCGGCTAGTTGGCTGCTGTACCTTTCCACTGACGCGGGCCTGAGAGTCGCTTCTTTCTCCATGTCCAGAAATCTGACCTGGAAATAGGCACATGGCTCCCTTTGAAGGAGGGGTTCCCTAAATAACGCTAGTGAGCGGAGTACACATACCTCGGCAGAACCATTTGGGCTCACGGGGCAGCATCTACCCCAGGACAAGGTTCAGAGGGCCAGGAAAGGAGGAGGAATGCAGGGAGGCGGGGCGTGAGAGATGCTGCATTGAGGGCACTGCAGTGAACGAGGGGAAACTGAATGGGTAGGACTCGTTGAACGTAAAACGGATCGTCTACTCTGTAAACCTACACCCAATTCAAAATAATAAGTGTTTAAAAAAGAAAGCAATACAATAACACTTTGCACTTAATTTTTTTTTTTTTTTAATTGAGTGGTCCTCTAAGCAAGGCATCAGGCTTGCTTTCTAAAATTTGAGCCTCCCAGGCTCCAGCCCTCTTGCCGCTGATTCGGCAGGTGTGGGGTAGGTTCTGACAGAACCGTTTCTCAAAATCTCCCCCAGGTAATTTCCATAGCGTGCTTTGACCTCCACGACTTCCCTCCGATAGTAGTAGCAGCTGGGTGGTTTGTTTTTAAGGTTACGTTTCCCCTTGCATTTTGACTTCCTGCCCAGGTGGAGTGAACTGAATCTGCGACCTGGACTTGGATCCACAGAGCTGGCGTTACAATCTTTCCCAGAGTTTGAGAGCAGCGGCATGAACTTCAGAGCGAAGCAATGCGTGTGGATGCTGAAAGGTAGCTGGCTCCACACTTGCAGGAAAAGGGATTGCTACTTCACCTGTAGTGAGTAACTGGTAAATGAATGAACGCCCTCTGACCTCAGTTGCCATTGGCAGAAAGCCCCAAACAACAGAAAGATGGTTAGCTGGTAGTATCAAGACAAGGTTTCTAGGCAGATATAAACATGAACTATTTCTTAAAACTACAGAGCTTCCCACAGAAACCCCAAAACACCCGTGCTTCTGAAGTCCACCACAGAGGGAAGCTGACCCAAACACAGCTGTTGGAAAAGCTGTTCAACTAACTTAGACAATGCAAGTGCGAAAAAGAGGCCCGCCTCATCCTTCAGGAGATGGCACAGGCGCACGTGGGCTTTGGGTTCCACTCAGTCTGTCCAAGCGGTTAATAGTGAAAACGACAGGGGAAGTGTTTGGCGTGATGCAGTTGTGAACAGAGTACAGAATCCGCGTCTGGACTGTCCCGGCGTGCCACCTGTGTCTAGGAACTGCGGAACGTGGTCATGTCTTTGGGCTCCCTGCTCGGGACGCACCAGTCATCGGCTTCGTGGTTGGCCTTGTAATGCTTCCAGGCAGCTTTGTTGTACACGGGGAGCCTTTCTACGGATTCTGTTGACAGGGCCTGTAAAAGCAAGCATTGCCTAAGTGTGGCATTTAAAAAATTCTCTACTTGAGAAAGTATACAATGGCACAAAAGTTATGACAAATTAAACAATCCTGTGTTGGCTTTAAGGAGCCCTGGTGACTCTGCGCAATAAGCATTGGGCTGCTTAGCACAAGGTCGGTGGTTCGAACCCGCCAAACATCCTGCAGGAGACAGATGAGGATGTCTACTCCCACTCAGAGCACAAGTTCCCAAACTTACTTGGCCTGCCGCCTCCTTTTCAGAAAAATAAAAAAAGTACTCGAGTCCCTCTGGCATTGAAAATTGTTTTTACGATCGCCTATACTCTAGGATAAAGTGTAGGCATCTGCTTTTGCAGCCCCCATCCCCCAGGGAAACACTGCCCATGTTGAGAAACCATGATTTGGAACAGGCATCCTCAAACTACGGCCCGCGGGCCACATTTACCAGCCCGCGGGTGTTTTGGTCGCGTTTGTTTTTTTAACTTCAAAATAAGATATGTGCAGTGTGCATCGGACTTTGTTCATAGTTTTTTATTAAAGTATAGTCCGGCCCTCCAACGGGTCTGAAGGACAGTGAGCTGGCCCCCTGTTGAAAAAGTTTGAGGACCCCTGATTTGGAGTGTCAGAAACCCTGCGCACGGGGTCACTGTGCCAAGTAGGGCTCACTCAGCAGCAGGGTCTTTGCACTTTCTCAGCCACAGCAGTATCGATATGCATTCTTAAGAAGTGGACATCACTGAGAAGGAGTCCTTGTGGCACTTTTGGGTAAGTTTGCACTGTTAGCTGCAGGGTTGATGGTGCAAATCTACCAGTCACGCTGCAAGAGAAAAATGAGGCTGTCTGCCCCAAAAAGATTTACCACCCCCCCCAACCCCTCCCCACCCCCACCAAAAAAAAAGATGGAAGCCTTGGAAGCCCTCTGTAGGGTCGCAACGAGTCAGAATCAACTCGATGGCAGAGGGTTCTTGGACCTATTGGATCTATGTTACTAGGACTACGTTTACAGCACTGCTTGTCATGCACAGGACCGTGTGCCCAGCTGCTAGAATGAACATTGTAAATGGGTTTAGGAGGCAACTCTCACAAAGTACGATCAAGATTAAAAGTTCATTAGCTGAAAAAAGTCTGCTAACGAGTGAAATTACAAAAATAGACATGTGTTTTAATATATATAATTATACTCATTTAATGAAATCTGTTTCTGTTATTTAGGGTTTTTTCCTACCAGAATAATCACTGTACTTTCTTTAACTCATCATAAAAATACAATCAGTAAATATAGAACTAGTTCCGGCATGAGCACGCCGTTAGTCTAACTCTTTATCACCTTAGTTCCGGCACGAGCACGCCTTTAGTCTGAGCCTGTATCATCTTTTCCTGCTATAGAAGCCGGCCCCTTCAGTCACAACACGTAGGCGTAGCTGCAGATCTAACATGTCACTCCTGTTATTCCACCATTGCATGTCAGGTTCCGGTTATTCGCTGGAACCTTCCATTTACCAGAAAGAAACTATTGTTTCCCCTTATCCACTTAAAGTTAGGACTTCTTGTTTGTTTGTTTTAAAATCATTTTATTGGGGGCTCTTACAACTCTTACAATGACCCATACGTCAATTGTAACAAGCGCATTTGAACATATGTTGCCATCATCCTTTTCTTTTCTTTTCTTTATTATTAAATTAGTTTATTGGGGCTCTTACAGCTAAAGTTAGGGCTTTCCAACTTCCAGCCACAGATTTCCAAGAAACTTCAATCTGGTACAACTAAACTTCCTCCCAATATGCATTCTTTGGTATTGATGATTTCAATGATTGGGTGGCCTCGTCTTCTATTTTTCCAAAATGAAACTAAAAAAGGTTCACATCGCACTCTCTTTTCATCTCATATTCTCTTCAAATATTTCAGAACTCTTCCATGTAGTCTCAATAAAAATGTTGCATTTGGTGGTGAAACAACCTTGCCTTCATGTCTCTTAAAATTGCACACAGTTGAGATGCGGAGGAGAGCATAACATCTAAAAAGAATTTAGGAGAACTCTTATTCTTTCAATCCAAATTCTTAAGCATTTTCTAGGTGCCATCTAGTGGCCAGAACAGGAAAATGAAGTCGCCAAATGCCGGCTCCCCAGTGGAAGCTGGGAACTTACCCAAGGGGACAGACTGAAGGAGCTCAGAAGTTCCCTACCCTTCTACACCATCCCGACCCTCTGCATCAACACAGTACGGAGGCTTCCAGGCAAAGAGGGTTGGCTGCACAAGAGAAAGAGGAAGCTGGCTGTTCCCATACAGAGTTTCCGTCCCAGAACCCCCTGGGAGCAGTTCTGTCTGTCTCTGGGTGCTGTGAGTCAGAATCAAGCCCATGGCAGTGGGGCTTGGGCAGAAACACACAGGATGTTCCAGAGTGGTTGTGTGAAGGCACCTCTGTTCCCATCCGGGGGGCTCGCCTGCCCACTAAGCCGCAAACTCCCTGCCACGGAGTCCATTCTGGCTCATTTCCCCTTCACTCTGGCTAGTCATTAGGCAGCCTGTCATCGCCACTGCAGAATCCCCCCAGCTCCGCCACAAAGCACAAAAAGCAGGAGGGTGTGTTGAGTCTATGGAGCTAAGATGAGTGCTTTGGAAAGACTCTTGTAAAGAAAATGAAAACCAGGTCAAGTTAGAATCAGAATATACATATGTATATGTCTATGATATATAATATGCATAAAGGCTTGTACAAATACAGGCATACCTCAGAGATATTGCAAGTTCAATCCCAGGTAACTAACTACAAGAAAGTGGTTATCACAGTAAAGCAAACAGCATGCATTTTTTTTGTTTGTTTGTGTCTTAGTGCATTTAAAAGGAGCTCTGGTGGGTAGTGGGTTAGCTGCAGTTCAAAACTACTAGCCACTCTGTGGGAGAAAGACAGGCTTTCTACTTCCATAAACCATCAGTCTGAGAAACTCACAAGGGCAGTTTCCATACCTTGCCCTACAGTGCCACTATGAGTCACTATCGACTCAATGGCAGTGAGAGAGAATATAAAGTTATGCTTAATCAGAAGAACCCAAACAAACAACCATTTTGATGCAAATGAGGGAGGTCGGAAAGGAGACCCAAAGCCCATCAATAGACAGTTGGACTTCCCCCCACAGAGGGGTCACAAGGAAGGGAGGAGCCAGCTAGGGTGCAGTGTAGCACCAACGAAACACACAACACCCCTCTAGTTCTTTAATGCTTCCCAACCCCCCAATAATCCAGTCCTATCTTACAAATCCGGCTAGACCAGAGCATGTACACCGGTACAGATAAGGGCTCTAGACAGAGAATCCAGGACAAATAACCCCCTATATGAGAGTAATAATGAGAGTAGCAATACCATGAGCGTAGGGGAAAAGTGGGGAGAGAAGGGGGAGAAGTGGAGAACCGACAGCGATGACTGACATACAACCCTCCCACCCCCACCCCACGGAGACGAGCAACAGAAACGTGGGTGAAAGGAGACAACCGACAGTATAAAATGTGAAAATAAAAATAATTTATCATTGTTCACAAGGATGGGGGGAAGCGGCATGGGATGGGGGTTGGGGACAGGAGCTGATACCAAGGGCTCCAGTCAAAAGAAAATGCTCTGGAAATGATGATGGCAACAAATATACAAATGTGCTCGACACAACTGAAGTATGGATTGTTATAAGAGCTGTAAGAGCCCCCAATAAAATAATTTATTAAAATGTTAAAATAATAAAGTTATGCTTATCCTATCCTGTAGTCTACTAAGTGTGCAACAGCACTATGAAAGCGTCTGAAATATCGTGAGAGTCACCAACACGTGACAGGAGACCGAAGTGAGCAGATGCTTTTGGGAAAATGAGACCGGCAGACTCACCCGACCTTCAGTCTGTGACAAGCATGGTGCCTGTGCAGCGGCGCCGTGCGGCCAAGCCCGCCAAACATGGCCTATCTTACCCAGGCAAATTCTGCACGCTTCGTTGCTTTTTTGGTGCTTAAAGAAACCAGTGTTGGAAATCACACATAACGCGTGCAAAGTATAACTCCTATAAGAAAGTGATGTGAAGTCCCGGTCTGCAGACCTCGGTGGGACACCAAGCGATCAGTGGATGATGATGGCGGCATATGTGCAAATATGCTTAACACACTGGAGGAATGTATGGGCTGTGATAAGAGGCGTAAGAGCCTCCAATAAATGTATTTTTTAAAAATAATATTTTTTTAATTAAAAGGAGAAAAATCTTGGATATTATTCTAAATAATAAAAAGATTAGCTAACAAGTTATTTTTTAACAAGACTTTTATCCGAGATATTATTTTGTGAAAATAAAAATATTATCTAAAAAAAAAGAGATCGATGGATGACTGTCCACTTTACGTTAAAATTAACATTGTAAGATATGTATAACCTCTTAGGATTTCCCACTTCAGCCTGTTTGTTTTCCCATTAGCCCTCATCCTGAGCATGTCTGCTAAGAGTTTCCTCCCTCAAACTCCTGGGGATCATCAGTCCACAAAGATGAGAGCATGTGTACAGAACTGATCTTCTTGGATTTACATTGCCTCAAGTAGCTGGAAACGTCCGCCTACAGTTAAATAGTGTGACCTTTTCCTGTGCTCGCGAGAAGACGTCGTCTGGAGCCATACCTTAACGTAGATGACCGCGTCTGTGCCATAGCCCTCCAGGGAATACAGCTTGAGGTCCCCTTGGAAGTACTGCGCATACAGGCGGGAGATGGGCAATCCGTAACCAAAGCCAGCCTGTGTGACCAGGAGAACAGAGTTTGATTCCGACAAGAACAGAGTTTGATTCCAACAACCACGCTTTTGCAAAGGCCAAGCCATGCCACGGAGGGACCCAGGGTGACGAGCACCGAGCAAAGAGCTCCCTGACTTTCTCAGTATGAACACCCCTTTCAAGGCCAACCCACCAGTGGTGAAACTGAGGCTTAGTTGCACACACCCACCCCACCCGTGGTCTTTCAAACTCCATTCTACCGTTTTTTTATAAAATAATTTGTGGCGGTCTGAAAAAAGCACGCTCCTTTTCCTCAATGGCCAATAGTGAGTGGGTTTTGACGATATACAACACGTTGGCTCTTTTAGGATCAGCAGTGGGAAAGACAAGCAAATGTTTTGAGAATGATGATGCCAACCAATGTACAAATGTGCTTGACACAATGGATGGATGGATGGATGGATTGTGATTAAGAGTTATATGAGGCCCCAATAAAATGATTTTGTGAGATGTAAAAAGACTTTTCCACAGCGTTGTCTCCCCCAAAGATATGCCAGACATTAGTGGCTGTTTGCCAGCACATGGTGGGAGGTCAGATGCTTAGAGATATTCTCCCTGAAGGCATCTATCTGGTCCACTATAGGTGGGGCTCACACGCTAC